CAGTCTGAAATTGCATGTAAGTAAGACTTCAAATCAACATTAGCTCTATTTAATCGATGGTAAACAATGGTGTATTTGACAGTCATTGGCTGCTAAATATCATTTCCCTATTTTAGAAGCTGCAAAGAATACGTTTTTGAAGTTAAATTATTAAGAAAAGTCTGAATGTGCAAATATAAAACTTTAACCCAATGCCTATGAGGACAATTTGTACCACAAACTACATTCCAAAAATTGTATATTTTTCACAAACCGGAAACGCAACCAGCAATTTCAAACACAGTGTCCACATGGCGTAAAAAAGCTGGATTAACCGAAAGAGAAATATGAAATGCGATAGTTGTTGGTGAAAAAAAGATAAACAGGCGCAAACAGGTGCTCTCCATCTCTCATATCCACTAAGAGGAAGAGGTCACAGGCTTTATCTGCTTGGATGAGCTACACACGAGTTTTGTGGCGGGGAAAATGGCCTGATATGAGCTTGGTGGTCAGACATATGCACGCACAGGCAAAAAGCAGCACTCATATTTCATGTGTCTCCATCTGCATCTCTACAACTGCCTGAAAAAGATGTTATCTGGTAACTGTCAGTGCAGGAAACGCGATAGTTTTTTTATGCTCTTGCAGGCATTGGTTAACTGCTACAAAGTGGATATCAGCCACTGGCGCTAACTCAAACATCAATAAGTGTGTAATATCTGCTCGGTGAAGTTTTATTTCCTAAATTACACTGAAAACAAGAGATAAGAGATGACTGATGTCCTACCGAGATTAAAGCCGAGTCTGCCGCGCTTTCTGGCTGTATTGCACCGCCATCTTGAGGGAGGAAATGGTTTTGCTCTCAAACAATTGGATTTTGTTTAAACCAATGCGTTGTTGTTGTTATTGTTATTATTAACCTGTATTTTATTGCTGCTGACAAATCAGTTGGTTATTTAACAATAGTTTTGTCAACGTATATTAAATCAGTGAGACATTTTTTAGCTTTATGGTGTGCATTAGCCTACTCAGTTGTTAAGAAGGGATGGACATGGTCAGCAACAATACTCGGGTATAACTAGTGTTTATTTGGAATTTTTAAAGGAATTCTTTGTCACTTTCCTATTTAAAGCTTGACTTGTCTGCAGGAACATTGTGTACTAGACTGACAGAAAATACAAAAACCAAATGAGTCATAACAAGATAGCCACAAGCGATTTTTGGGATTTTTTTTTTTTTGATGACAAAAACCTCGAGAGATTACAGAGATATAGTGACATCTAATGCTTTACACAACAAGCTTTTAATTTGTAGCTGACTAACAAAAAGGTAGCCTACAATATTTTAGCAAATTGTAAATCCAAATTATTTTCTAACTAGCCTATTCATATTTTTTTTATTAGAAAAACATTCATTATTATTATTACCGACAAATACTATTCGCTAATGCCTTTTTTAAATGTTTGCAAATGAGACCTTGTTGTGAAGTGTTAATTGCTTGAAAAAACTTTACTTTACATAGCAGTATGCAACCAGTTCAAGCTTCTAGTAAAAAAATGTTATTCACATACACAATCATTTAAAAGTTTGGAGATTTTTTATATATATATATATACGCACCATCCACTTTATTAGATACACATTACTAGTACCAGGTTGGACCCCCTTTTACCTTCAGATTTGCCTTAATCCTCCGTGGCATAGATTCAACAAGGAACTGGAAATATTCCTCAGGGATTTTGCTCCATATTGACATGATAGCATCACGCAGTTGCTGCAGATTTGTCGGCTGTATATCCATGATGTGAATCTCTTGTTCCACCACATCCCAATGGTGCTGTATTGGATTGAGATCTGGTGACTGTGGAGGCCATTTGAGTACTGTGAACTCATCTCCATATTCAAGAAACCAGTCTGAGATGATTCTTTATGTCACAGTGCATTGTCCTGCTGGAAGTAGCCATCAGAAGATGAGTACACTGTGGTCATAAAGAGATGGACATGGTCAGCACTAATACTCAGGTAGGCTGTGGCGTTGACACAATGCTCAATTTGTACTAATGGGCCCAAAGTGTGCCAAGAAAATATCTCCCACACCATTACACCACCACCACCACCAGCTTGAACTGTTGATACAAGGCAGGATGGATCTATGCTTTCATGCTGTTGATGCCAAGTTCTGACCCTACCATCTAAATGTCGGATCAGAAATTAAGAATTATCTTCTATTGTCCAATTTTGGTGAGCCTGTGCAAATTGTTGCCTTAGTTTCCTTTTCTTAGCCAACAGGAGTGGCACCTGGTGTGGTCTTTTACTGCTGTAGCCCATCTGCCTCAAGGTTGGATGTGTTGTGCATTTAGAGATGCTCTTCTGCATACCTCATTTTTAACGAGTAGTTATTTGAGTTACTGTTGCCTTTCTATCAGCTCAAACCAGTCTGGCCATTCTCCTCTGACCAAAACAAGGAATTTGCGCCCACATGACTGCCGCTCACTGGATATTTTCTCTTTTTTGGACCATTCTCTGTAAAGATGGTTGTGCATGAAAATCCCTGTAGATCAGTTTCTGAGCCCGTCTGGCACCAATAACCCATTTTCAAAGTCACTTAAATCACCTTTCTTCCCTATTATGATGCTTGGTTTGAACTGCAGCATATCGTCTTGACCATGTCTACATGCCTAAATGCATTAAGTTATTGACACGTGATTGGCTGATTAGAATTTTGCATTAATGGGCAATTGGATAGGTGTACCTAATAAAGTGAACAATGAATGTACTGTATAGAAGTTTGCATTTGTACTCTCAAAGTATCATTAGCTATTGAACTGCATTAAATAAATAAATTAGTTTTTTAATGAGTGTATTAACCACATTTTTAAATTATTATTTTACATTTTGGGTGAATGAATATAATAATATAAAAAATAAATAAAATCTCTAAATAATATTTACTGTAGTTAGGCTTACCTTGTCTGCTTTCCTTGTATTTAAATGCGAATTATATTTGTGTTGAAAATTTTGCTGACACAAAAAATCAGCGTTGCCATCTTGTTGTTTGTTTATACTTTATTGTCCCATTTCTAAGCAAAGAAATTACAAGATAAAGAAACAGGAAATTAACCGTTCAAACAGATTTCAATGTGAAATTTGCTAATTAAAAGTTTGGAGTAAGATTTATTATTATTGAAATTTGTTGTGTAAGTTTGCATTTATTGAATCAAAAATACAGTAAAAACAGTAATATTTTGAAATATAATTGCAATTTTATTTAGTTTTATTTGAGCATCTTAAAATTGACATTTTCCCTGTGAAAAATGCATATTTTTTTGCATTATTGTCAATAAGTGTCACATAATCCTTCAGAAATTATTCTAATATGATGATTTGCTGCTCAATGAATGTTATTTATCATAATATGTTGGTGCTTAATATGATTTTTAAGGTTTGACTGATAACAAAGTAAATGAAAAATGTTCATTTGAATGATAGAAATGTCTTCAACTCCCAATCGAATGCATTCTTGCTGAACAAAAGTATAAATTTTTTCAAAACAGCCTACTGACCCAAAATCTTTAAGAGGTAGTATGAAAATCTTGTACGTTTTGGTTTTGTTTACCACCTGGAAACACAAGACAGACAAAAATAGTTAAGAACAAAAAGCTAGACGAAAACTTAAAAAGGAGGATGTTTATTTCACAGCAGAAGCATAATTCACCCACATTTGATGCATAGCTTGAAGATGAAACTCCCTGATCCAACATGGCAACTTTTATGTTGCATGGTCTTTCTAAGATTATGAAAGTTCTGTTTTATGACACCGGTGAACATGATAAAATCAAAATGGCAGTGGTTTAAACAATTAAACTCGACAATTAAATAAATAGTTCACCCAAATATTTAAATGTTCGGTTAGTTTATTTGCAGGTCATCCATAAAAAAAAAATGCTTTCTTGTTTTTGTCCAAATTTGTTTTCAGAAATAATTAATAAAAATCAATTGAGGTTTTTCTTAAAACAAGCAAAATAATCTTGTTTTCAGTTTGAAATAAGTTAATTTGTTATTTTACTTACCCCGTTGGCAGATTATTTAGCTTTTTTAAGGAGAAAAAAAACGTAATTTTTAATGAAACTATTTTTATTNTACAAATATATATATATATATATATATATATATATATATATATATATATATATATATATATATATATATATATAT